TTAATTCTACCAATCCATGAACATGGTATATTCTTCCACTTATTTATATCTTCCTCTATCTCTTTTTCCAATGTCCTGTAGTTTTCTGAGTGTAAGTCTTTTACCTCCTTGATTAAGTTTATTCCTAGGTATCAAATTTTTTGTTGCAGTGGTAAATAGGATTGTTTGTTTAGTTTCTCTTTCTGAGAATTCATTATTGGTATATAAAAATGCCTTCGATTTCTGGGTGTTAATTTTGTATCCTGGTATATTGCTGAATTCCTTTTTAACTCTAGTAGTTTTTTGGTGGAGTCTTTAGGGTTTTCTATGTACAATATCATGTCAAAAAAGTAAATACTTAATAAATATTTGTTTGGATGAATGAATAATAAAAGTTTTTCTTCCTCCTTTCCAATTTGGATGCCTTTTATTTCTTCTTGTCTGGTTGTTGTGGCTAGGACTTCCAGTACCATGTTGAATAAGAGTGGTGAAAATGGACATCCTTATCTTGTTCCTGTACTTAGGGGAAATGGTTTTAGTTTTTTCCCACTGAGTATGATGTTGGCTGTAGATTTGTCATATATGGCTTTTATTATGTTGAAGTATGATCTCTCTATTTTCACTCTGCTCAGAGTTTTTATCAAAAAAGGGTGTTGGATTTTGTCGAATGCTTTTTCTGCATCTACTGATATGATCATGTGATTTTTGTCTTTCAATTTGTTTATATGATATATCACATTTATTGATTTTCGAATATTGTACCAGCCTTGCATCCTTGAAATAAATCCTGTTTGGTCATGGTGTATGATCTTTTTAATATATTGCTGGATGCGATTTGCTAATATTTTGTTGAGGATTTTTAGCATCTATGTTCATCAGGGATATGGGCCTGTAATCCTCTTTCTTTGTAGTGTCTTTATATGGTTTTGGAATTCAGATAATGCTGGCCTCATAAAAAGTGTACCTTCCTCTTGGATTTTTGGGAATAGTTTGAGGAAGATAGGTGTTCACTCTTTTTTGAATATTTACTGAAACTCTCCTGTGAAGCCGTCTGGACCAGGGTTTTTGTTTGCTGGGAGTTTTTTTTATTACTGCTTCAATTTCCTCAATTATTATTGGCCTATTCAGGGTTTCTGATTCTTTCTGATTCAGTTTTGGAAGATTGCATTTTTCTAGGAATTTGTCCATTTTATCCACCTTGTCCAGCTTGTTGGCATGTGGTTTCTCATTGCATTTTCTTACACTCCTTTGTATTTCTGTGATGTCAGTTGTTACTTTACCACTTTCATTTCTGATTTTAATTATTTGGGTCCTCTCTCTTTGTTTCTTGATGAGCCTGGCTAAAGGTTCATCAGTCTTGTTTATCTTTTCAAAGAACTAGCTCTTGGTATCGTTGATCTTTTATATTGTTTTTTGTTGGTTTTTTTTAGTCTCTATGTAAGTTATTTTTGCTCCAATCTTCATTATTTCCTTCCTTCTACTTATTCTGGGTTTTTCTTGTTGTTCTCTTTCTAATTCTTTAAGTTGTAGGGTTAAATAGTTTATTATTACTTTTTGTTTTGTTTTGTTTTTTGAGGTAGGCCTGTAATACTATGACCTTCCCTCTCAGGACTGCTTTTGCTGTGTCCCAGAGATTTTGGGCTGTTGTGCAGTCATTTTCATTTGTTTCCAGGAAGTTTTTTACTTCTTCTTTTTTTTTTTATCTCATTGGTAACCCATTCATTGTTAATAACATGCTATTTAGCCTCCATGTGTTTGAATGTTTTGGGGTGTTTTTACTGTAATTGATTTCTAATTTCATTCCATTATGATCTGAGAAGATGCTTGATATGATTTCCATTTCTTAAATTTATAGAGACTTGTTTTGTATCCTAATGTGGTCTGTCTTTGAAAATGACCCATGTGCACTTGAGAAGTATGTATATGCTTCCGCTTTGGGGTGAAATGTTCTATAAATGTCAATTAAATCCATCTAATCAAGTGTGTCATTTAGAGTCACTGTTTCCTTGTTAATTTTTTCTTCTGGAAGATCTATCCGGTGAAGTCAGTGGGGTGTTAAAGCCCCCTATTAAGATTGTACTGCTATTTATCTCTCCTTTAAAATCCTCCAGAAGTTTTTTTTATATATACTTAGGTGCTCCTATATTGGGTGCATATATGTTTACCAAGGTTACATCCTCTTGTTGGATCCATCTCTTTAGTATTATGTAATGACCTTTATTGTCTTGTGATAGCTTTCATTTTGAAGTCTATTTTATCAGATATGAGTATTGCCACCCCAGCTTTTTTTTCGCCCAGCTCTGTCACTTTATGACTGTGGCTTTGGGCAAGTTATGTAACAGCACCTGGGAAATGGGGATGATGACAGTGCCTCCTTCATAGGATGCGGTGAGGGTTAAGTGAGTTAACGTACCCAAAGCACTTAGATCAGTTTCTGGTGAACAGTTAGATCAAGCCAGTGTCTGCCTTATTATTTATAAAGCATAGTAGCAATGTTAATATTTAGTAAGATGACACTTACTAGTACAAGCACTAAATCATATTAAAAAGGTTATTATATAATGGTTATGGCCACTTTTTGTAAATCTATATGTGCCTGATGGCAGCTAAATATATATTAAAAAGTATTAAAAGTGTGAGGACTTAATGAAAATACTTTACACCAGGATAATTCATCATGTCTATTTTAAGCTGAGAGATCCAATAGACCAAAATAAATAAAATCTAGAAAAAAAATGAATAATAGAATCAGCACACTCAATCTAATAGACAATTTTGAACCTTTTGTTCCTGAAATAGTTTTTTGCATGGAACATTTGGCCCTAGCTGGTTTGGCTCAGTGGATAGAGTGTTGGCCTGGGGACTGAAGGGTTCTGGGTTCAATTCTAGTCAAGGGCACATGCCTGGGTTCCAGGCTAAGTCCCCAGTAGGGGGTGTGCAGAGGCAGCCAATCAATGATTCTCTTTCATCATTGATATTTCTATCTCTCTCTCCCTCTCCTTTCCTCTCTGAAATCAATAAAAATATATTTTAAAAAATCAATCATGTGCCACAAAACAAACCATAATACCTTCAAAACATGAAGCATATTACAGACCATATTTTAATCATAGTCCAATGCAATTAGAAATAACAAAAATGATGAAAACCAGATAGCTTGAAAATGAAGAAACACAATTTTAAGTAATCCTTAGATCAAAGAGGAATTCAAAACTGAAATTAAAACAGTGAAAAAGAAAACACGTCACACCCAACTTATGGACACAGAAAATATGGTACTGAAAAAAGTCTTCATTATTAAGAAAGAAATAATAAAAATAAAGGAACAGTGTATTCACCTTTTAAAATTACCAAAAAAAAGGAATAAAACAAAAGAAAGAATTAACAAATATTTAAGCTGTCATCAAGCAAATAGAAAATGCTTTTAAAAAGTGGTTAAAAGGGAAAGGATCCAAGAAACCAAATGCTTTCTCTTTGAAAGGAGCGAGAAGGTGGTGCGGTGAGGGGGAGTGTGAAGAACAGAATATAGTAGAGGAAGGCGGGTGGGAGGAAAGATGTGCCAAAGAATGAGGAAATGCTCAAAAGAAACATCAGATGTAACCTTCTGCTCCCCCTACTCAGCACTCAGGATTTCTGTCTGTCTGTCAGAGTGCTTCCGCCTCAGCTTCTTTCCTGCCTGTTCGTGGCAGGCAGCATGGCCGTCCTGGTGAGCCACTCGCTAGCCGGGCGACTTTGGAGGTATCATTTCAGCTGTCGGTGCCTCATGTCCTGGAGGGGAACATGGCCATCCTGAGTGCCCCCTCACCGAGGACCTGTGAGGTTTGGTGCATGTCAGCACTTCCCAGTCCATGCTCAGATGATGTCCTCATCGCCTCCATCCTTCCTTTGAGGGGTTCCCAGGGTGGACGCTCCACGAGGCCATGCTCTTAGGTGGGGTCACTTACCCTTCAAGCAGTTCTGCTTTCATTTCAGGTCTTTCCAAGGGACACTGTTCGGCCGTTCCAGTAGAAGCATTGTCATCGAATACTCAAGAGAATATTTGCTGTATTTACTGTGTACCAGGCATTGTGCTAAGCGCTTTATGTGTATCTTATGTAATAGTCACAGTGGCCTTAAAAGTCTAGTCACCAGCCTGGCTGGTGTTGCTCAATGGTTTGTCCTCAGCTTATGAACCAGGAGATCACAGTTTGATTCCTGGTCAGGGCACATGCCCAGGTTGTAGGCTCGATCCCCAGTAGGGGGGTGCAAGAGGCAGCCAACCAATGATTCTCATCATTGATATTTCTCTCTCTCTCTCTCTCTGAAATCAATAAAAATATATATTTTTAAAAAGTGTACTCACCACTCCTGTTAACAGATGAGAGAAAGGAAGCTCAGAGAACCTTACACACTTGCCCAGAATTTGGAGGAACCAGAATTTGGAGCCCTTGTCCGATGCCCTGTTCCCCTCCTTGCTCTTGATTTATTACTTTTTAATAAAGGTTTGTTCACCTAAAACAGTGACTATCAAAAAACATCATGGAGTGATAGAAATACACACCTAGGGGCCAGGGGCCCGGTCTGGACCCTATCAAGTCACCTGACACCAGAGCCTCAGTGTTTTTATCGGTAAAGTAAGGGACTCGGTGTGGGTGTGATCCCTAAGGTCTCTCTCTTTCTCTCTGTCTAAGCCCCTGGCTCTCTGTACATACCAGGTGGCTGTTACAAAGGAGCCTCTTCTGAAAAGAGTTCAACATCCTTGCTTAAAATGGTTTTGTGACCCTGACCGGTTTGGCTCAGTGGATAGAGCGTTGGCCTGTGGACTGAAGGGTCCCAGGTTTGATTCCTGTCAAGGGCATGTACTCTGGTTGCAGGCACATCCCCAGTAGGGGGTGTGCAGGAGGCAGCTGATCGATGTTTCTAACTCTCTACCCCTCTCCCTTACTCTCTGTAAAAAAAAAAAAAAAAAAAAAAAAAAAAAAGGTTTTGTGGAATCATGCAAATTCTCAAATGACTCTCCTGTGGTCTTTTGTGTTGCCCAGGTACTCCAGGAGCAGATCCGTGCCCGGGACAACATTAGCTACGGAACTAATTCTGCCTTAAAGACTCTGGAGATGCGTCAGCTATCCGGTTTGGGGGATCTTCGAGGGAGAGTAGCAAGGTAGGTGGTCAGACGTTTGGGACTCCACTCCTCCAAAGCTGTTTTTCATACACTTCGTTTTAGTGGGGGATATATTCATGAAGCCCCAAAGCAAAGTGTTTGCCTTCTTCTCGTACATCACCTCCTTTGCCCACAAAATTTAACAGTGGACATTGACCTGGGTATGAGCGTGCCATGACTTCTTGTGTGTCTGCAACTGGAATTGGTGCGTGGGAGCAAGTGGGGGGAGAGCTCAGCTGGCCAGTGCCATCTGGCAGATGAAGATTATTATGTTTATTGAATCCAATAATATACAAAGTTGGGACTTACATTTTTCCACGGTTTGTTTGTTTATTTATTTATTTATAAGCTATAATTTTATTTACTTTTTATTAGAATTCTAAACAAATACTTCTCCGCCTTTTCTGAAAATGATCTGTGTTTAACATGGAAAAAAATTTTTTTAAATTATTATAGCATAACATGGTCCTTGTCAAATTCTGATGTCTAGCATTAGAATTAACTTCTTCAGAATATTTTTAAAATCTTTATTGTTGAAAGTATTACAGATATCTCCTTTTTTCCCCCTATTGTCCTCTTATAGACAGTCCCCTTCCCTCCCCCTCCATCTCCCCCCCCCCCGCCAGGTGGGGGGAGGCCTTCACCACACTATGGTCTGTGTCCATGGGTTATGCATATATGCATACAAGTTCTTTGGTTAATCTCTTCCCACCCCACCCCCCATTCCCTCAGAGATTCGACAGTCTTCCATGTCTTTTTTTTTAATTTCATTTTTTCTTATAATTCACTTATTAGTAAATTATTTTTCAATTACAGTCGACATACAATATTATATTAGTTTCATCTGTGCAATAGTGATTAGACATTTATATACCCCAATAAGTTTAGTATCCACCTGACACTATGCACAGTTATTACAATATTATTGACTGTATTTTTATTTTATTTTCTGAAAGTATGGGTCCATGGTAGATTGAAAATTTTAAAAAGAGCTCTTTCATCTCAGATAGTTGGAAAGTGCTCTAGCCCTTCACCTCTCGCTGGACCCGCAGCATCACATCACCTGGGACCCTGTTAGAAATGCCAGCAGTCCCTAAAGTGTTCCCGGGCCTCTTCTGCCCTCTGCTGCTGTTAAGAGTCACGCACAGGCCGTGACTGGTTTGGCTCAGTGGATAGAGTGTCGGCCTGCGGACTGAAGGGTCCCAGGTTCGATTCCAATCAAGGGCATGTACCTTGGTTGCGGGCACATCCCCAGTTGGGGGTGTGCAGGAGGCAGCTGATCAATGTTTCTCTCTCATCGATGTTTCTAACTCTCTATCTCTCTCCCTTCCTCTCTGTAAAAAATCAATAAAATATATTAATTAAAAAAAAAAAAGAGTCATGCACAGGAGTTGTGGAGCTCATAGGCAATTTGAGTCAGCCGAGGTGAAGTTGAGAGTGGTTTGCAAAGGGCAGGCGTGGAAAAAAGGGACTCAGGCACCAAGGATTCTTTGGAGCAGAGAGCACTAGTGGCGGGAGGTGTTTTTGCAGACAACACCTGAAGGGCTTCGCATGCTGGGCATGTGGATTTGCATCTGCTGGGTGGACAGCAGTCTAAGAGCAGAGATTGAGTGGAGGACTCGTTGACTCCTCTTGTGTGGTTTTCTATCCACATCTGAGTGAACTCCAGTCTCCTTAGAATGACCTTGCTGACTTCCTCACCTCTCTTTATCTTAGCACTGTACCTTTTAGCAGTGATCAGCTAACTGCTTGTTATGTCCTGAATGAGCCATGCTTCCTATTTCAGAGCCTTTGCACATGCTGTTCTTATACCCAGCATGCCTTTCCTCTTTTTCTAACTTCTGGTCAGCCTTTAAAATACTGCTCAAATGTCACCTCCTCCAGGAAGTCTTCCCAGATCGCCCATGCTCCTGCGCTCCCCTAGCATTCTTTGTTCTATTGAGTATCTCTATTGTCTTCACTGTCTTGGAGTACCATCTTCTATTTTTGTAGCTCAAGCATCTGGGAATAGTCCCTGGAAAATAGTAGATCTAGAAAATCACTGTAATAGGACAGAAAACTTGAATTCTTTTTGTGGAGATTGGCTTAAAGGAAACTACAGCTCTGTTATAGCTCTCAGAACAGTGAGAAGTTAGAAGAGCTTCAGAGTGGCAGGACAGAGTAGAGACCTCAGGAGAACTTTGAGGATCTTCTTGCTCACTTTTAGGCAGATGAAGATTAAGCGAAGCAATATATGTAAGAGGCCTAGTGCAGTGCATGGGATGGCATGTGAAATTATCCTGGTTCTAATTACAAAATGAAGAAGTTATTTTGAAATACTTTCAGAAATTTTACGTTTCCCCCCCTGCAATTTCTTATTAGCTGCTCTACCCAGCTTGTTCCTTCTCTGTAACAAATACTTTCATCCTGCAATAATTAAAAGTGTATTAGGAGTACCACATGTCTTTGTTTTTATATTTGTCTTTCCCGTATAATGTTAATGAGCCTTTAATTGTTGAAATAAACTCATGTGAAGTAAAAATTCTTTGGCAAAGTTTTGGCTTTCTTGAATTGGTTATGTTATTGTATTGAAGGAATCTGAACTTTTTAAATTATATTCTTAAATTACTGGACTGCTATATATATTTTTAAAAAATATTTTTATTGATTTCAGAGAGAAGGGGGGAGAGAGAGAGAGAGAGAGAGAGAGAGAGAGAGAGAGAGAGAGAATGAATGAATGATTGATCGCCTCCCTCCTGCACGCCCCACTCTGGGGATCGAGCCCGAAACCTGGGCATGTGCCCTGAACGAGAATTGAATCATGACCTCCTGGTTCATAGGTTGATGCTCAACCACTGAGCCACACCGGTTGGGCTGGGCTGCTATATTATTTCAGATTTATTTCATAGTGTTTTGGATCCATTGGTGATGTAATTGATAGGAAACAGACCCTGATCCCTCCCACGTAGATCCAGCTGGGAGGGACAAAGGCAGATTTGCCATGGAGGTGAGAGACACTTACCCCACTAAGCATAGCACACCCTAAAAAAGACTTTCTCAGAGGCTCCCATTTCTCTCTAAAGCAGAGCTCAGGGCTTTCCTATTCTTACTGGAATATTTGGTCCATTTTTGCCCTGTCTTCTTCATTTTTCCAAGACTCAACGGCCACATCCACTTTCCTCTATGAAGTCTGTTTGCATGATGTTAGAGCAGCTGTGGGCAAACTACGGCGCGCGGGCCGGATTCAGCCCGTTTGAAATGAATAAAACTATTGAAAAAAAAGACCGTACCCTTTTATGTAATGATGTTTACTTTGAATTTATATTAGTTCACACAAACACTCCATCCATGCTTTTGTTCCGGCCCTCCGGTCCAGTTTAAGAACCCATTGTGGCCCTCGAGTCAAAAAGTTTGCCCACCCCTGTGTTAGAGCCTTAGAGAATTATCGCTATACCAAGGCAGATGTGCAAATTCCCGCAAGGTACGCAAGCCCAGGTGCAAAGAAAAAAAAAAAACAGATAAATTGGACATCATCAGATTAAAGACTTTTGGGGATGATGTGCAATGCTGTTCTGAATAGTCACATAGTTTTTGTGTGGTCGTATGTTTTCATTTCTCTTGCATATATATACACCTAGGAGTGTAATTGTTGAGTAATGTGGTAGCTCTAACTTTTGAAGAACAGAACAGTCAGACTGTTTTCCAAAGTGGCCACACCATTTTACTGCCAGCAGCAGTGTATGAGGGCTCCCATTTCTCTACATTCAACACTTATCTGTCTTTTTTATTACAGCCAACCTAGGGCGTGTGAAGTGGCATTATGTGATTTTGGTTTGCATTTCCCTTAATGACTAATGGTATTGAACATCATTTAATGTGCTTATTGGTGATTTCTCTGCTTTGTAGCACTTACTCAGATCCTGTGCCCATTTTTAAATTGGGTTATTTGCCTCTTTATTATTGTAGGAGCACTTTGTGTACTCCGGATGCAATTCTCTGATCAGATATTTGAAAAAAGTTTCCCCATTCTGTTTTCTTTTCATTTCCTTAATGGGGTCCATTTGGGTCTATTTTTAAAAAAATTCTGTCTCTTTATTGCTATTCTCTATTTAATGAGACATTGTCATTAGGCTTTACTTTTTAAAGCATGTTTCTTTGACTACATTTATAATGGCTGCCTTGTGTTTTGTCTTTTAAATTTGACGTCTGCTCTTTCACAGGCAGCTTCTGTCTGCTCCTTCCCCATGTATAGGTCACATTTTCCTGTTTCTTTGCATGTCTCAGGCTTTTTGTTAACAGCTGGGTGTTTCAGGTAGTATGTTGTTGCAATCTGTATACTGACACACACCCTGGGGTTTGTTGTTGTTTGTTCAGTGGCTTGGCTGGACTGTGTTAGTGATGTCTGTCTCCCCTACAGTACGGAGCCTCAGATGTCACTCCTCAGAAGGTACAAAGTCACCTTGCAGTTATAGTGGCTTCAGCAAGGCTCTGTCTCTTTCCCTGATCGGTATTAAGCCATCTGCCTCTGTTGGAACCACACCCAAATTTTAGCTCTACTGATTGCTGGCCTATTGCTCTACTGTTTTTGAAGTGCCCTAGAACATACATTGCTCCGTGATCTGATTCAATTAAATTATTGCCAGCACTTACGGGTTTAATGATGTATATATACCCTAGTTACATACGTATGTGTGCGTGTGTATATATACACACGCACATATACATATATGTTAATTATTACACATACATACATATATATTATAATATGGAAGATGAGAAAATGTTTTAAATGTCATTGCTTTTGGTTGCTGTGCCACCATGTCACAAGCTGTAAGAGAAGTTCTGCGTAAGCATGTTGCCCGTCATACCTGTTGCTAGACTTTGGGACCCTGTTGGCCAAGTGGTAGAGTCATTCTGCCACCTGATGGCCACAGTTAGGAAGTGTAGCCAGGAGATAGCTGCCAAAAGACTGGAAAAGGAAAATTTGGAATCTGTAATAGAAAACATCAAGGATGAAATAG